CTGGGCACCTTTGCTCCTGCCTCCGCTCCCTCCCGCCCGCGCTGCCCTTCCCAGCGGGGCCACGGCCAAATCCTGCCCTTCTCCCTCCCCAGCACCGCTCTGCGCTCCGGTCAGCCCCTCCTGCCTGGCGTGGGGTTTGGGTTTTTTTTGGCCCCGGGGAGGCCTTTGCCTTACCCTGCCAGCAGCTCGGCTCCGAAGCCCGCTTGCGCCCCGCGGCTCTTCCCCAGCAGAGCTTCCCAAAAAAAAAGCTGTCTCCTGCAAATCCCACCTGCACACCTTCCCCTGGGCTGGCCGAGGATTCCTCAACCACTTTACCCATCACCTTGTGCTTCTCCTGCATCTTCCTCCTCTCGGCAGATGAAGGGCGCAGGGAAACCCACCTCCTTCCATCCCCTGGCGCGGAGATTTCGGCTTTCCCAACCGATCCATCCGGGCACTGATATCCAGGTGGATGCAGGGACTGCGCTCGTCCTCGTGCTTTATTAACACAGACCCATCTATAGGGGGTGGGACGGGCAGATAATTAACGGGGTTGATAATCTCCTATCAGTAATGTCTACGGCAGTCGATTAAGTGGCGCAGAAGTGATGAGTATGCAGCAAAAAAATACAGACATTTATTATTTCTGTGTTTTATTTCTGCACACGTTAATTCAGCATTTCAAGCAGCCGTGGGGTGAGCTGGGGCAGGCACCGTCCCCGCCGTGTTCAGCACAGGATGGGGTGCGGAGGAGCAGCTCTCCCCCCACGCCGCAGCGGCTCTTTTGAGATCCAGCTCCCGTGAGAGAGCTCTTTATTAAATTTCTCTGTCCCAAAACCTCCGCTGGTGACAGTCACCACTCCGCCGATGACTCGTGTAAACCGCAGAGGCGGAGAGAGCAGACAGCTCTTCTTGCGTGCGTCAGGAAAGCCGGGGCTGAGCGGCGCAGCCGTGCCCATGGTATACCCGAGCATGTCCTTGCTTGCTCCGAGCAAGCACGGCAGTTTCTTTTCCCTGGTCACCCAGATACTGCACATCAAAGCGGTAGTTTCTGGATTACCGGGCAAACCATGCTCTCCGACTCAGGGAAAAGCCATCCTGAGGTGTTCCATCCAGAGGGACGTGGACAAGCTTGAGAAGCGGGTCTGTGTGAACCTCATGGGGTTCAACAAGGCCAAGCGCAGAGGTACACGGGTTGGGGCAACCCCCAGTATCAGCACAGGCTGGGGATGGAGGGATGGAGAGCAGCCCTGAGGAGAAGGACCTGGGGGTGTTGGTGGGTGAGAAGCTCACCCTGAGCCGGCACCGTGCGCCGGCAGCCCAGCGAGCCCCCGGCACCCCGGGCTGCATCCCCAGCAGCGTGGCCAGCAGGGCGAGGGGGGATTGTGCCCCTCTGCTGCGCTCTGCTCTGGGGAGACCCCCCTGCAGTGCTGCCTCCAGCTCGGGGGGTCCCACCAGCAGAAGGACACGGAGCTGTTGGAGCGGGGCCAGAGGAGGGCACGCTCCCAGGCTGGCCCAGGTTGCCCAGAGAGGTGGGAGATGGCCCATCCCTGGAAACATTCCAGGTCAGGTCAGACGCGGCTCTGAGCAACCTGCTCTGGTTGAAGACGTCCCTGCTCATGGCAGGGGGGGGACTAGATGGCCTTTAAAGGTCCCCTCCAATCCGAAATACTCCATGATTTGATGATCCTCTGCCCTCCCTATTCCCACAGCCCCAACACCTACTTCTGCTCCCTGCGGCGCTGGAGAAGGGGCTGTCACCCCCCGGGTAGCGCCGGGGCTGGGGACGGAGGGCAGCTCTGCCCCAGCACTGGGTTCCCTGAGTCATGGGGAAGGCAGGAAGGAACGGCGGGGGACAGTGCCACCAGCTTGGGAACCAGCTGGCCGGGCACAGACAGGCCCAGCTCAGTGACAGGGCAATTAACAGGGGTGATTAGAGCTGGTGGCTCACACCCCGGGCAAGCGAAGGGGCACATCCTCACCCGGACACGTCATCCCCATCCCAAACCCACCTGGCTGTTCCAGCAGCGGCAGCGCGGCCACAGAGGATGCTCCTGGCAAAGCCGGTACCCACGTAAGAGGGTGAGGGCCGGGGTGTCGCACTCAGCGGTTCCCGGCGCCCGAGATGAGGTTTTGCTGATGCAAAGGGAGCGCAGAGGCCGGGCAGAGTCTCCGGGCGCAGCTCTGTTCCAGCAGCAACAGCTCGGGAAACCGTGGCTGAAACGCAGCGTTGCCACCGGTCTCAAACCACCCCCGGCTTAATCGTATGTTCCCCTTGCAATTCAGAAGCTTCAATCAAAGCCCCAGAGCTCCTCTGCTTTATGGGATGGTTTGTCCATCCAGACTATAGATCCACTGGAACCCTGAAGGTTCGTCCTTGGGCTCGCTACCGAGGGAGGGAAGGTGGAGATGGGCCGGCAAACCTTGGCAGCTCTTCCCGAGCCCTGCTCAGCTCCCAGCTATCGCAGCGAAGCATCCCAAGCTCCCATTGGGATAATCAGCCTCTCCCACCCTCAAAGCTCAGGTGGCACTCCACTTTGTCGGCAAGAGATGCGGAAGGCTCCTTGGTGGTTGCAAGCTCTCTCAGGACACCAGGAGAGGGGACCAGCTCTGAGCAACCACCCTCTGAAGACACGTGAACGTGCGCAGCGCATATTAGTCGCCCAGCTTCAAACCAGTTTCCCTCCACTGACTTCATCGGATGTTTTCCCTGGTTTACACAGGATGATGCAGATTAGGAGAAACCCCAAAGTGGATTTTGAAGAGCTCCTCCTACCATTGCAGCAGGATCCAGCCACTGACATCCATCCCCTGGTGACCCCTGCACCCTCCAGCTGCGATTAATGAAGGCAAAACGAGACTCACCCTCGCAGTTATTACAGCCGGCCACACGACTCATCAGGACCCCTTCGGTCGCCGCTCTGCTCGGAAATGCCCGCTCCTCCGTTCATCTCTCCTGACGCGAGAGAGCCTGTAATTCCGGCAGTCCTTCTGCTCATCAGGAGGTGCCAGGCAGACAGACGCAAACCACCAGCCTTGCCGAGTACCAGCTTGATGATGCAGCTTCTATAAAAAGAAAGGAAAAAAAAAATAAAAATCCAGTATAAATCCTGCCCGTGCCAGAACTTCCCAGGAAGAGTGAACTTTTTTGTGGAGCTGTCAGATGTTCCGAGGCCACCGCAGCCCCGGGGCAGGGCTCGAGGTAGGCAGGAACGAGCCCAGAGCTGGGTTTTGGTTTAGGTTTTGTTCTGCTGCATTGAAAGCGACGG